CTTTGAATAGAAGTCAGCAATGAAACCTTGACTTGCCTCCACCTGGTAAAGACGGTTCTGGGTTAAACGCTGCTTCCTGTCCACCTCCCTCCTCCTCCACCTCCCCCCTCCTCCTCCACCTCCTTCCTCCACCTCCCTCCTCTCTCCTCCTCCCTCCTCCCAGATCTTCCACATGACCTACGACCTGGCCAGTGCCATGGTGAGGATCGTGAACCTGATTGGGATGATGCTGCTGCTGTGCCACTGGGACGGGTGTCTCCAGTTTCTGGTCCCGATGCTGCAGGACTTCCCTCCGGACTGCTGGGTCTCCAAGAACCTGATGGTGGTGAGTCTGGGCGGTTCAGACCGTCCGAACCGCTGAGGTCCGGTTTGCACAGCGAGCTCGGTGTTTGTTCCCAGAGCGCCTCCACAGAGCTGCTCCTGCTTATCAGCGTGTGCACAGAGCGGCCGTTCATCACATCCGACAGGCTCCTTATCGCCGCTAATTGGCTCATGCAGCGACACGTCCGGCCGGGTCGGCGCCGCTGTAACAACACAGAGCGGCTCCTCTAATTAAAAGGCTGCCAGAGATCAGGTGGAGGTGTGGGGGGCCTGGGGACGGAGATCCCGCCTCGTGGTGGATGCAGCTGTGTGAAGAGCTGAGTCATGGCTCACTGGTTGCCGGGGCGACGGTTGCTAAGCAGGCGGATGCTGCTGGGATTTTCCCCAGGGAAAGTCTCAGCAGCATCCACTGGACCATTAACATCCTGGTAGAGCCGGAGAGAAACCCAAGGACGCAAGTGGAGGCGGATCGGTTTTATTAGCATCCAGAAGCATTTATTAACAATAATAATAATAATAATAATAATAATAATAGTCTGAGGATACTGAGGAGGAGCAGCAGAAGGCCGGTCGGTCCAAACAGAAGGAGAAAGAACAAAAACATGGTAAAAGATTTACAACATGAATCAATAGTACAACAGCAGATAAATAAAATGCCTCATGTCAGTACAGGAAGAGAACAAGTGGAATAACAGAACGTAGAGAGCTTAGAGAAGAGGCTGAAAAATAATTCTATTAATATTAGGAAATAAACATATAAATAAGTAAATCAATAAATGGGAAAAGTGAATCATATGAATGATAAAAATAAATAAAGGAAAACAAACTCAACAACACAGTAAGGTCATAAAAATAATAATAGTAGTAAA